AATCAAGCATTGGAACAGCCTACCCAGAGAGGTGGTGGATTCACCATCCCTGGAGGTTTTTAAGCAGAGATTGGATGTGGCCCTTAGTGCCATGCTATAGTAATTGGAGTTGGATCAGGGGTTGGACTTGATGATCTTGGAGGTCTTTTCCAACCCAATCTATTCTATGATTCTATTCTATGATTCTATGATTCTATGATAGAATATGTTCTATCAACCAAGATTTACTCTCCCAATAACACAGCAGTGCTGCTTGACAGTTGCACAGAAAGGACGGCAGTTTTGCCTGAAATCTCTTCGGACATCCTATATTGTTCTGCCCTACCACTTTCTTTGGAGCAGCATGTTTGACTGGAATATCTCCTGATGATTCATTTGTAGAGGAGGAAGTGATAGTAAAAAAAATTTGTCACCTGTCCACACTGACAGTGCTTCTGTGACAAAGTTAGAAGTGCAGTATTGTGTTATGTACTTCAGGATGCCAAATGGGACCTGTCGCCCTAAGAACAGGGCAGGGCTGTTAATTAGCAGGGTTTACACTAAAAAAGCTGAAGAGCAGAATAAAAGAGCTTTTCCTTGTATGTTTGTGGAGCAAAAGGATTTCCCCTACACTTATTTCAAGGTTAGAGGGCAATTTCCTAATTTATTCTAGAAACAAAATATTTAAACTCGGAAGTAAAACAATCTCCCAGCAAGTACTAATATTTTAGGGAATTTCTGAAAAGTTACAGAGCCTTTCATATGTATTTAATGGAAGTGAAAGATTAATTCCTTCTTACCAGTTTTATAGATAAGAGCTTTGCCAAACATTACTTTAGCATGGTGTAAACTTACTACTGCCTTCTGTACTACCACCTCAGAGTCCAAGAATTAAGTAGGAAATGGGCTCTGCTAACACTGTTAGTAGAATAGAAAAAAAAGAGTACCCTCTTCTTTTGTGTCCATGATGTGCAAAATTAATGTTACCTAGCAAAAACAAAAAAAAAAGTAGATCTTTAAAGCTTGTCTTGTAGTTGCCCTGTACATAAGTCTGGCAGAAGGCATCCTAGCTGCCATTTTGTATTCTAAAATTTTACATCAAATGCAGCCTAATTAACTATTTTTAATAATGCAGTTATTAAAACAGAAGCCTCCTTCAGTTAAGCAACCTTGTCTCTAGACAGCAATTGACGTCGCTGTTTTAACACTTTATACTTTTCTTCCTGCCAGTCCCTTTAAAAGAAATCAGTATTCTCAGTGCTATCTAATTAAGAAATCTCATTTTTTAAAACAGTGTGACATACAGCATGATAAAGACCTTAAAAAACCTAGGTAAGTACCTTCTTGGGACTTGTTCCTCACACCAGTCAATAAGTTTCCTTCTTTTTAAGGCATTAAAGTTCTGAGCAATTTTTAGAAGCATAAGTACTTAGGTTACGTACAGACAAATCAGTGTGACTTCAGGAGCCAAGCACACAGTGTTTCATTAACAAGGATGAGAAACTCACTTACTTGAAAGAACCCAATACTTTTTTTGTAATTACTTGAACTATTTCCTAAAGAGCACTTTAAATACTGTTGGGTTCTGGTAAGTCTACATGGCTTGTTTATGGGGAAATATAATTCAATATACGCATCTTGCACAACAGCATAATGTGTGTCAAACACCCACTATACTCACCACAAAGAAACAAGATTCATTTGTAGACAAGTCTTCACTGCGTTTTTCTTTTAGAGCAGATTGAACAATTAACTCATACAGCGGGGCTAGTTTCAAGCCAGAAATCTGAATTCCTGAAACCAAGTGATTTTTTTTTTTAATTATCAATTAGGTTATGACTGTAGGTTATGAAAGCTAATATTAAAAAAAAAAAAAAAGTAATGTTTTGAGAAGACAAAACCATTGACCTCTTTTCTTATTCCCCCTTTTCTTGCTATTGGGAATTTGAGGTAGAGTGTTTCAACAGCTTTGTCCGTAATTGTCATATCTTTCTTAGAACTTTTGCCGTTTGCATTGGTTGCTAATATGTTACACTTCAGCTGATAAGACAGAATATGTTCTGCCCCAGAAACAACTTTTTCCACTTGCAACATAAAAAACACTGGGAAATAAAAAGCAAATAGCAATGCACAGAAGTACTTAGCCTTAAAAAACAATTATAACATGCCTGTGAGCCTCTGTATATCTTCAATACTGGATGAGGACATAGGAACAGGCTGATGAAACTTCAGCACAAAAAGAGCTGGCAAATCCATGCTGAGTTCATCAGTCAGTTGCAAAAAAGCAGGGTTGCTGAGAAAAAAAATGGTCATAATGAAAGTTTTTTACAGAAATTGCCATAGCAAGAACTCTTAGTGCAAGGCCACTATCAGGTCCCTAGCAGTTTATTATATTCCAGACTTCTGACTTGAGAAAAGTTTTGATTTATAAATGCAACATATTAAAACATGCTTAATGTGAAAACTGGCAGAAAGGAGAAGTGAGACACCCAAAACTGAGTGATGTTTGCTATCATTCCAAAGCGTTTTGTTCTGGAAAGTCACTTCAGACATTCCCTCCAGCCAGCACTGAGGTTGAGAGAGTTGAGGTAACAATACCCACAGCAGGACAACAAACTATTCTGTGTATTTTAGATGTAGTATCTTTCAATATATGCTTCCTTTGCTCTGAAACTATGAAGGAGTTGCTTGTTGAAGACTAGGAAGTTAAGCAATATTGTTGCAGTGGCTCGCTCTGGCTTCAAATCTCTGAGTAAATCCACAGTTCAATGCAACCGACGTAGTTAAATAGGAACACAATAAAGTCCATTTGGGAAAACTGTAAAAGCCACAGATTATAGAGGGTTTAGCTACGGAGCATAATGCCATCAATAAACCAGAGCTGCCTGTTTTAGCAGAGGCCAAACCTAAGTTACGCTGAAGTTAGTGCCGATGACTTGTAAATCTGTAAATCCGTTTCTGCATCGAGAAGAGCCCAGAGCCTCACCTGTCCTCTCCAGACTGAGGATCTACAATCAGTGGAGAAAGAGGAAGTTTGTGGAGCACATCACTGCCTTCAAGAGTTACAACTGTTTTTGTTCCACAAACCTGGGAACCTGAGGGAGTAAGAGAATTGCATTGGGTGTAGATTAATCCTATGTGTGCAAAACATGCAAGGTCTTTGAAGGTCAGGTCCGACTGACAGGCACAGTGGTGCAGGCAGAGAGAAGTCTGCACAGATCACACCCAAAAGGCCCGAGTTTCCCAAAGATAATAGCAGCAATAGCTTCTTTTGAGACAGGCCATGAAGCAGATCAAAACCATCACCAGTCATTTTTCATGCTGAATTA